ACGTATTTCAATTCACAACTATACATCCTCACATTGTTAGGTAAACTGTGTTTCGTTAAATCGGCGATTTTATGCTTAATCTAGTGCTCCAGTCCCGGACTAATCTCTATCTTTCTTCGTAACTAGCCCAATGAATGGACAATGAAAATTTTAGAAAAATGTGCTTTGACAGAACGATGACGTTAGCATAAAAATTTGTGTCATGTGAGTGCCATAAATGTTCATCGATAAATAGTGTTATTCTGTTGGTCGCTATCCAGCACATTCAAAAATTAAAGACATTGCTACTGCTGGAAAGTTCTTTCCTATTATTTCGTTAAAATACGTATATAATTTAGATAATATGAGAGGACATGTGACCGAACGCAATATTTTATCGGCTCAGTGTACGGGAATATTTATAGATCATTCGGATTTAGCTCGCAACAGTTAACTTTATTAAAAAGCGATAGTTTCATTTTAAACAATTACGAATGCACATAATTAATTTTTATGACCAATGGGGCTACCTTAATAGAAGCATTTTATGTTTGTCGAGAGCCTTTGAAAGGCTTTGGAAGTAGAAATTAAAGATCCGAGTGCGCTGTATACGATTAAGAGCGTCTAATATACTGACTGTCGTATAATCCAAGGCACTGGCAAGTATTAATACGACTTGATGTCCAGTCAATTAATTACTTTTTCTTTATATACAAGCGAAATTATGTATTTAAACTTGCGGAGAATATCTCTAATAAAAAACGAAAACAGAAACAAAAAACAAAATAAAAATAAAAAAGTATTTACTAATATTCAAGAAGATTTTTCATCTTTTTAGCTTCACGATAATTTCACAAAACTAATCGTTTGTTTTGCCAAGAAGATTTTTACGAACACAAAACGAGCTCTCTATCAAACAATTTTTACAATATCATGGGGATTATAATTTTTTATCAAGTAACATTCTATTATATAAATTGAAGTATTTATTAATTTAGAAAGTAGACTATTAAATCTTATGCAAAATTACCATTTCATGTAAGTGACATGTCAATATTATCATTTTTCATTAAAAAATCGAAGAACATCTTCATCTACATAACTGATTATGATGAACGTATATCAGCGGCACTTGAGCAAACGTACGATTATGAGAAAAAAAGGTCAAAGCATAATGAAAAGTAAATAATAATTAAAAATTACCTTAAAATTTCTGTTATTTAATATTACATTACACTTAAACGTACGTTACAAGAGCTAATTAAAATGAAAATATTGATACAAAATGATTGATTTTCTTTATTATTTTTTTTTTATTCCAATAATAATAATTTTAATATAATCCATGATGTTTTTTCAGGCTTTAAATATTTAAATACATATTATAATTTAGAGTCTAATGTGTAGGTAAAAAATAATATTTACATAACACAAGTACGTGAAAATTTTTAATGTACATTGGATTTATTTTTACACATTAACAAATTACTAGACATTGACGTCTTTGAAGTTATCTATGTAGAAAGATGTCATACGTCGGCGTAAAAATCATGTTAGAATTCAATATTATAATCTCTATTGGATAAAATTGCTCCTTATGTTGTAGTATCATAGTCAAACAAACTAATAAGAAATGCAGTTTTTAAGTTAACCGTTCTTCGAATGAAAATTTCCGTCAATCGGAGTTGTTGGTGAAAATTTCAATCGCTCACACACGCTCACTTAATTCTTAATCGATATGAAGAAAAATGAGTTTGCAATGCAATAATCGAAACTCCTCTCGGACTTCATAGTTGATTATCTTTTCCCTGAAGAGAAAAAGCGAATGGTGATTTTTCAAGCAACAGCTTCAAAATTACATATCCAGTCAATGGTGATGTTATTTACGAGAACAGTTACATCATTCAGTGATTGCTTTCTACGTATGGTGAAAGATTTTAACTGTTACATCGTTTGAAGTTCGCTTGTCAGTCTTTGAAGAAAACATAATGTGCGCGTGCGCGTGCGTGCGCGCGTCTCTGTGTATTCGGCAAGGAAATTGTTGATTGTTGCTCTAGTTGTGCAGTAAAAGTAATTCTCTTTTAAGGATCTCCTTTACATAGTTTAGATACTATTTAAACACGAGTAAGTTTGAATTTTTTCCGCGTCTTTTCTTTAATATTTTCTTGATTCAAAACAGCACGGCTCCGTAACGCGTGAAATTAAAGATTAGATGGTAAACAAAATGTAATTGGGAATAACGAACTATTTACGGAAATCGTCAGGCCAACTTTTAATGGCTAGAAATTTCTATCAGCATAAAGATACGTTTTCATTCTCGATCTAGGCTTCTGTACTATAGAGTAGTATTTTGAAGATAAGTGCCTATCGCTTAGTCGTGGTGGTACTGAAAGGTCAGCGCTCACAACTGACTACCGACGAATCTAATCAATAAAGACAAGCATCGAACATCCACTATGCCATTGGTGTTGTACATATAGGAGTAATTGATCGAAATATTGTCCGATCCATCGTAAATCAATTCTAGATAACATGAAATGCTTCTTAAGCCAAGATTATACTGCAGTATATTCGGTAAATATGACGTTTGTAATGCGATTTTCTTTGTACGTAGATTGTGGTTCAAATAAATAAAGATGTAAGGGAGAGTGCGTAATGTAGATTAGCTTCTGAAATGCAAACCGGAATGTCGAATAATTGCGAATCAACTCAGCAAATAACACGCTTTTTTTTCTTTTTACGTATGATCTTATCAATTTATGTACTCGCTACTCTTCACAAATCATGCTTTGTACAAATAATGGATTTATAAAATAATATTTCATAACTCTGAAGAAAAATAAATGACATAAGTAATGCTAAAGTTAAATCGCATGCTCATTAAAAACACTAGCAACAATAGCAACAAATAAAAATAAAAAAAAACTTGCAATCACCGTATTCATTGTGCTTCAAACAATACTTGTTACATTAGTCTGTGCGTTATTCTTGCAAAAGATACGAATAATAAATGCAATTCAGAAAGCCGTTCTCGACTTTGTGCAATTATATATTATTTATGGCATACCGTATATTTATTTAGCATTACAAGATTTGTAAAAATTGAAATTCTGTCGTTCAGCATTGAAAGAAATCTTATAAATTGTCCAACTACAATATATGTCTCTATAAAATCATTCTTTTAATATTTTTACTTTTCTAAAAATAATTTATCTTACTTATTATTCATTATGTCGATTCAAGTCAATCGTACTACTCTTACTATCAGGAATATATTAATCTACATGTAGAAGAAGATGGCATTGATCAACATCAGGGAGCTGATGGAATACTATTAAACGATACTACATCAAATTCTTTGATGTACGAGATTTTCTATCAAATTTGATCGATATTTTCAGAGTCTTTCGATTTTGAAAAGAACAGTTACAATAAGGAATGATTTGTCAGTTAGTGAAATTTAAATATTTCTAGTATTTCAATAAGGGAAATACATATTTTACTTTATTTTCAAACTATTTCGTCTAACATCGAAAGTATTTTAGTTTCCCGACACAATGCATTGTATACGTCTTTGGCATAATTATATTATCATAGTCACAATTTTAATATTTTATGCAGTGATGACAGATTTTTAAAACACATTAATGCACCGCGTAAATATCGGATTATCATAATCATTATAAAAGATTATGTTTAAGGTGTAGATATTTTAAAAGGACATACTTATTGCGAATCGATCTATAGGCGAATGTGCACACATATTTGGCTATGCACACTTACACATTCACATCTACTTATTTAAGTATCAGTGAAACGGCTCTACATTTAGAAATGGAAATTTTTTAAATTTATTAAGATAAGAGATTTTTTCTCTTTTTCTTCATCTTGTTTTTCTTTTTCTAGTATAACGAGGAACTAAATACTGTGTAATTTATCCATGCAAATTTTAATTAATCAATCTACGATAAATTTGTATCCTACAAAACCAGTACATTTATAGTACAATGATATATAGGTCCGAGGGCTAATCTTCATTTCGATTTAAAGATAAAAATAAAATATTCATTAAATAAATTAAATATTCACGATATAATAAATTTATGAATAAATCAGGTTACTTTTAGCGTTCTCTGTCTGCCAAGATGTGCTTGGCATTTGACATTTTATATTTCATATTTTACATGGGATTTAAAGGACAAACACTTGTGTTTTATAAATGCAGAGAATTATTGTAAACGCGACTTTGGCCTTTATAGATTCGTTTTTTTGCGTGTTATAAATATAAAAATGTGTAAAGCAGGCGGAGGAGTGCTTAGATGAACCGATTATGAGCATTAAATTCATTGAGAGTATTATTTTCTCGAATGGCCTTATAATCCTGCCGTTTATCTTGCTAGTGTCCGATAACGACGAAAAGGCATTCTCCCACAGTTTTTGCGAAAAGTTAGCGAATTTGTTTTCGAAGATTAATGCCGCTTAAATTAAGAGGACAATGATATCGGAGCTGATTGTCCGATAATCATGATCGCGAGTTATTTCGGTGGGGCCATTGAGGCAAGAATTTTTCGAGCGGAAATAAGAATTAGGAGGCTCGATCAAGCGGCTATCAAACGACTTTTGGGTCACACAAAAATCCATTAAAGATAATTGTAAGAACGCGGACAAAAAGGAGTCTTTAGCGAGTCCTAGGCATCCGTAGCGAGCGGCTCGGAATAAGCGGAGCGCGTTTGTGTAAATTCACAGGCAATTTCGTCCGAGTCAGTTCCCTGAAAGAGCGGGTAATAATTTTTAAATTAGCCGCCAAGTAACTTATATCAGACGCGAAGGTAAGAGTAGCGTCGGTCGGCCGTTATTTTTGAAAGCTCCGCCAACTTCGCCGAGGCATGCCTCTGCGCATTGAAATCGGCGAATCGAGCGTGGTGCTGTGGGTCCCGGGCCACGACGAGGACATGAAAATATTTTAGCATGATAATGAGGGAGGCGACGTGACTTAAGTGAGCTCGTTGTTCGCAGGTATCGGTCTACCGAATTGCGGGGCTAACCTCTTCACCGGCAACAATAACGGCGGCGCGTCCCGACAGCGGATGCTCGAGCTGTCGCACGGCCTCGGTGCTCTTCGCCACTATAACGACCTGGCGAATCACGTTCTATCGCTGAACCAGCAAGGCGCCGTCGTCACCAAACTATTGGGTAAGCTAAAGTATTCACCGCTCTTTGTGAGGCTCTTTCGGCCCGTGGCCCGAGCTTTGGAGAAATCGCACTTGCAAGATTCCAGCCTATATCCAAATAATCCCCTGCCCCTGTTCCCACCATCGCCACCACCACCACCACCACTACCAACACCACCACCACCACCACCACCACCACCACCACCACCACCACCACCACCACCACCACCACTACCACCACCACCATCACCACCACCACCACCACCGACACTTCAACGCACACCACCATCACCACCACCACTACCAGCACTACCATCACCACCACCACCACCTCTTTATTACCTTTATTCATTCGTTGTTTATTCATATGGAAATTCGCGCTTTATTCGCCACCTACGTTATTATAATATTTCTCATTAAATGCTCGAGAGCTGGGTGACTTATGTACACAGATTGTGTCAAGTCAAATCTACTCTGGAATGTGTAATAGGAGTATAATGTAATTGAACTGCCAGTTGGAAATCAGCAGCTGCAACGCAAGTGAGGAATCGCACCTGTGAAGCACTCCATGCTAGTACAGCGATTTGTCTTATGAATATTAATGCCGACAACTTATGAAAGACTATTATAATAATACGGGTGTAATAAATTATTCTTTTGTGAGGCACTCGATATCTGATTAGCGACGGGGGATTTATAATTATTGGGACAAGAAAAAATTTTAAAGCGTATATTAGTCGATAAGAAAAAGTCATTTCTGAAAGAGTAGCCTCAAGATTTATGATTGACATTTATCAATGTTTGCCGTCGGCGTTTGTTTTATCGCTTGTCTCTTACACTCTTAAAATTCAATAAAATAATTTCTGAAATTAAATAAGATGAATGTTGGGAGTTTATGCACAAGACCGCGTTTTAATGGACTTTCGGCAATCTTTGGTTATCGAGAGCTGAAATTATTTCGTGCGCTAATTTAAGCTCGTAAGTTTGTCGCGTTCGTCCCACATCGGCGAAGGGAATAATCAAAGGATATGATAAACGAGCAATTATTAATGATTTCATTAGTAAGAGCGACTTCTTTGCCTAGTCAGCATAGAACTCATTTCAAATAAGAAAGTAAAAATAAGCCGAATCTTAAGTATTTAATTTACGACTTATTACATGTCAACGCTTTTATAGGCCTTAAAGTAATAATATCCTCGCGGAGAAATATCCATTTGGTTTAAGCGGGTAATCCGAAGCATAAAACGCTAACAGGAAACTATTTTATAGAAGCGTAACGATCCTTTATGCATTAAGAGGAATATTTTTGAATAAAGGTGTTGCCTCTTAATTCGAAATTTAATAAAACTGCACGAACAAATAACCATGTATATTAATGTTGAACGAGTTCGAATTGAGCGCACCTTACTACCCAGTGGAGCCAATAAATCTACTTGTAATAGTAATTGTCTCTCGTCGAGCTTGACATTTTCTTTATAATTTAAATTTTACGAATTTTAATATTTCTACAATCATCACACTCAAATTTACGGAAAAATGCGTGTCTTTAGACAGACAGAAAAGTGCTTGCGCTTTGTAATTTTTTTATTTTATTCGTATGTGATTTTGAAATTTAATCTTTCAAATTGCCATTTTTATTTTTATTTTCTTGGTAAGAAGAAAAAAAGGAAAGAAGAATCACAAAAAAGAAATTGTTTTAGCTTTTAATTTTCATATACACATTTCTGTTATAATTTACGTGAATTTTAATGTCAATGTTTTTATTTCCGACTTCAATGTCTATAAAAATCTAAATTACGATGAATGGCTTCCGTTCTTAGGTATAAAAAAAAACACATTAAAGAAGCTAATGAACGCCTGTACATTGCAAAAGCCATATTTTTTTTTTTTTTTTTAATAAGTATAGTAATAATTAATTTGGAAATTAAACAGTAAATTTAGATTACATTCAATAATTAAATTGAAATCTCATAATTTGAATTGCCAAATGTAATACGCACACAATTACGTTAATAACTATTAATTATAAGAATTTCCGGGATAAAATCCGGACTCTCGTTTCGACTACTTTTTATCCGCAAAATCATATTGTATTTGTATGTACGTCATATTACGAGTGCGTTTCTGAGACTCTCTTTAAGTCCTGAAAACTTCCATTATGTCCTTAATAGGACGAAAGCAAGGTTTCAGAAATCACGGCACAGCGTCCGACTTAAACGGCAATGCAATAACGATTTAATAATTTTCGTCGAACGCCAATAACTCGACAAATTTTTTTTAATTATCGAATGGATAGGAGTGCCGGTCCTCCCCAAATCTCAATGGTAATAAGTAAGACAATGTCGAAATTGCACGTGAAAATAAGTAAGGAGGAAAGCCAAAGAGCAGACATTAGGATGGAAAAATGTACCGAAACGCTGCTGCCGTAATAAAATTGATGAAATTGTTTAGTCGTTAAAGTGAGTCCTTGTTTCGTGGCCCGATGAAGAGTCTCAAGTTGATTGGGCAAAAACTCGCGCAGGATAAGAGCAGAGTCGCAAGCGCTACTTGGCGAAAAAAAAAATCAAAAACAAAACAAAAAAAAAAACAAACGAAAGAAAGAAAAATCCCGAGGCCACGATTGGGTTGTCAAAGATGGCTCGGGCGTCGGCCTTCGCCGAATACCAATAACTCGCCAAATTCGTAATACGCTCGATCATCGACTGGTCGATGGCGCGAAGGACCCTTCGCAGTCGGAACAATGCTCCGGGAGCCTGCATCGAGACCGCCGGGATAATAACGTCGTCACTGGCAACAACGGGTCGTGCATCATATGGAGATGAGGCGCGGCGCATCCAGACGACGGTCACGAGGCGTTCGCGAGACTTCCTCGGGAGAGTCATCGGAACTCCTGTCGCCATTACAGCTGACGATTGTTTTCCCAGGTGCGCTCCCGGGATCCTCGCTTTATTGGCCGATTACGCGGGCGCTGGCCTCGCAAAAACTCCGCGGCGCGCGTTAAACGTAATTTGCGCAGCATCCAAATTATAGGGCTTAGGAACGCGTTATAAAGCTTGGAGCGCGGCCTTCGTTAGCGCTCCGCGATTAGCGCCGCGTTCCCGGAAGTCTCGGGGCCCCATGCGCACCTTAAAAAGTCCTCGCTCACTTTCTCCGCATTGCACGGTTTTACGAGGTGTGCGCGTGCGCGGACGCATCGAGGCGAGGCGCTATAGGATTATTGGGGTGTCCGACGTCGCGGTGTGAGGGGGCATTTGTCGTGGGGCTTTTCTCGCGGGTCGAGAACGATTTAACGTCCTGTTTAATGGCTGCGCTCGAGTCCGCGACGCCTTCCTCTCCATCCCAACAAATCTCGCGGATTTTCAGGAGTCGGCAGCGATCGTATTTCCATAAATCACACGGACCGATGGCCGCGCCCCTTTCATTCGCCGCTCTTTGTTTATAACGCGTTTGCTTGCGTTTTTGCGCGCTTTTGCTCTTCTCGTGCGCCTCCGTTCGCTTACGCGTCTACTGGCCGCGCGGGCTCTTCTCTTTCTCCGAGTACAAGGAAGATTGAGCGAGCGAGCGAACGAGAGAGAGACAGTGAGAGAGTGAGAAAGATAGTGAGAGAGATTGTGTGTGTGTGTGTGTGTGTGTGTGTGCGCGCATGTGTGTGTGTTTGTGTGTGTGTGTGAGAGAGAGAGAGAGAGAGAGAGAGAGATAGTTAGAGAAACCAGTGAAAAAATGTAGCTGGACCGGCACGGCGGCAGGAGCATATACGCTCGCTCACTCCTCGTTAACTTTACGAGCAGCTCGTAAAAATCCCGTTGAGCCTGTCCATACTATCTTTCTTTGGCTGATCGTCGTGGTCTTAGTCGTCGAGGTCGTCGTGGTCGTCGTCGTCGTCGTGGTTGTCGTGGTTGTCGTCATCGTCATCGTCATCATCGTCATCGTCGTCATTGTCTTCGTCGTGGTCGTCGTCATTATAGTCGTCATCCCCGTAGAATGTCATCGTCAACCTCCCATTGCCCCTCTCTCGTCCACCCATCACTGATCCGCGTTCCCCCATCATCGACCCTCATTTCCTCATCATCGTCCCTCGTTCTCCTCCCTCCTTCCAGACCCGCTGTTTTTCGAGTGGCGCGCGCCTTCTCCCGGTAATGTCTTCATCTCACGGGTGAACGCTGGACTCTTCTTGAGCCTCTCCTCGAGGTGAATATAATGCGCCGTAATCGCTCTTGGCCAATTACTTAACGCCACGGAAGATCGTCGGGACCCGACTCTCGCTTCTCCTTCCTCCCTCCGCTCCTTGAGCTTTCGCCGATAACATCGGCGGCGGCAAGCCGAGGACGGGGCCTCGCATTCCCTATTATTTATTTACCGTGCCGGCTCCCGTACTTGCTCGCTATTTCTCTCCCGCTAACAGCTCATTAATTAGCATAATTGCGCCGGGCCCCGAGAAAAAGGTCGCGACGGGTCCCGTGCTACGTCCTTACCCTCGGCATCTCGCGCTTTTTTCGGACCGAGGACCTGCCCGCGCCTCCCCGGATAATCGCGGCCGGGCGCAGCTTTTCGCCGAGCGTCTCTTGCCCATTTATCCTTCCTCATTATTAATGTATTGATCTATAAAACGGGGTTTGTCGAAAGGGGCGGAGCGGGGGACGGGCTGGTATTGGCGCTCACAGCAAATGGACCTTCAGCCTCGGGCGGGCGGATAAATATTTTACAGCGCATTAAAAACCTAAGAGAACGTGTGAGATACTTACGCGGAAAATAAAATATTGTAAATTACGCTCCGACTGCGAAATAAATAGAATGACCATCAGATAAATATCTTAGTCGGGTAATAAAATCTCGGTATTTCGCTTATCGGGGGCTTTTTACATATCGCGCGGAAGGGGACTAGTGTTCGCGCGTGTGCACGCATTAGCCGATTATTTAAAAATTTTGCATCTGGCGGTGGGCGATATGCTAATGAAACGACAAAAAGTTTTATAACGTCATATTGGGACTTATGTGGAGTGAATGCGGGGTCCTTCGCAGCTC